ACTATTGTACCAAGAATGCAACGGATAAAACAGAAAACTATTAAATAGAGAAAATGCCCAGAAAACCATTAAATAGAAGAAAATAAAGAAGAGAATTAGGTAGAATACTGGGGCATTCAGGTGTTTGTAGACCAATGCACATAGTAAAAATAGTAATCAATGAAAATTTAAATGTACATTGCACTAGGGTTAGCATTACCTCAAGATTCTGAGATTTGGTAGATCATGTTCCATGATAGGACTACAGCAATAGAAGGATATTACTCCTTGTACAAAACAGGTCTAATAGGAGTGTGTGGGTGGTGGTGGGGGGAGTTAGGAGGGGAAGCATAGAAGGAATATAAGAGAATGATATACCACCAGGATAAGTATCTGTAAACCTGAAGCTCAAAGCTCTTTGGGTAAGGATTTAAGAAAAACTAAAACTAAAGTGTTGTTTTTAGAGGAAGGTATGCTGGACCATCCAATTAACCACTTTGCTTTGGCTTCTGCCACACTTCGTTCCTTCTAGGACTTCCCTCTATCTTATGACTTCCCTCACATATCCTCTTCTCTGCCATTCCCTAAGGTTGGTATCACACAAGACCTCTAGGCTCTGCCCTCATCTACATCTATGAATTTCCTCATTGATTGCTTTCATTTCCACGTCTCTTACTTCCTCCTATAAACAGGTGATTCTTAAAGCTATAACTTCCGCCCTGATATCTCTTCTAAGCCTCTATTTCTTTCTTCTCAGTAGGTCATAGATACTTCAAGCACAACATTTCCAAACTGGAACTAGACACCATTCCCATAACATGTGACCCTTTACTTCCTACAGTCCTTATCTTAGTTAATAGCATTGCAACCAACTTGTTAGAAGCCTCTCTCCTGATTCTGTCTGTCTGCCTTATAATTTCTTTCAATCCTAGTTCTAAAATGTCTTTATTAGCTAACTGTTTTCTTTAGTACAATGACTTTAAGTTTTTTCTCTACCATCTCTTGACTTTCCTCTTGTGACAGCCTTTCTGACCAATTTATTTTCCTCTAGTCTCCACCTGCCTTCCTGACCTGCCTTTCTAATCCATCTTCCCCCACCACTAGTCCTGTCCATGAGATAATAGAAAGCTTTAGGTAGGATTAGGGTGATCACATCCTGAAATTATTATATAAGACATTTTCACGCTGGATGAGAAGTCAACCTCATAATCTCTAAGGCTGGGTTGCCAACCAAGGACCAATTATGTAGTCACTGAGCTTGCTTATTCAAACTAAGATTTCTTTATCTCATTCCCAAAGTATTGATTCAAAAATCTCCTGAGTTTAGACCCTCGAATTGTACTTTTGTAGGCTCTACAATAAGTGTGATGAACATCCATTTTTGGAAACTCAAGATCATATCCAATTATAAGTTCAGTGATTATAACACTCTAATCAGAATCCAATTTGCTATTCCAAGAAAATAGTTACCAAAGTCTTTGTGCAATGGCAGCATCATTAAACAAAACATAAAGCCTTCTGAGTGCACATTTAATGAAAAAAAGCATTCATTTGAATGTATAAGTTCTGGTAAATTTGTGAAAATTATCCTATCACATGAGAAGCATGCTTTATGCACATTTCTTCCTACACATATATCTAATGGGTTTTTTCTTTAGTTTCATAAATAATGTTAATTAGTTTCACATGAAGACTTGAAGTAAAAATAGTGGTGAATGTTATATGCAAAACATTTAGTAATTAGGGTGTTAATTTACATTTATATCAAAGCAATTAAAATTTAACAAAACAGCAGGAAAAAAGAAGAGAGTAAAATGAAAGTCCTTAATGTAAATATTTAGATTTTTCCAGTTGATTCTCTCTAGCTAATGAAAGGAGTTCTGCTTCAGGTATCATATAACGTTTCCTATATCAGTAAATTACTGGGACATTAGTAGCTCGTGACCAACAAGGAAACTGGTCCCTATAGAATTAACTACAGTAGGTAGTAAATTTCATTTTCATATCGGTGTTATAAATAAATTATTAGAAAAGAATAAAAATAAGAATGACTAATTCCTATTTTACTGTTGCAATTAGTTCCTACAATGAACAAATTTATAAATATGAAGCATAACCCTGTGTTACACTAAGGTCTCAGAGGTTGAATTCCTACATATAAGCACATATGTGAACACAGGTGCCTAAAAACATGGATGCAGGTATATTCATTAGCAATTATGTATACATTTATTTATAATTAACAACATTATGTAAAATAACTCTCTTATATTAATTTGGGCTACCCACAAACACTTTTTTAGGTTAAAAGCACTTTGTTTCAATATTAAATGTACACTTTTTAAAATAAAACATACATTTTCCTATGGAAACTATCTTGTAAAGTGTGCTGAGGATCCTCAGCTAACTCACAAATCCTATTAAACCCATAGTGATAGTGGGGTCAATTGGGGGAAAAGGAGCCTTATGTAAAACTTTAGATAATAATAAAAAAAAAACATAGTGAATTTAACTATAACACTAATGGGACTCTGAAACCTGAGATCTTGAAGAAAAAGACTGGCAAGCCAAAAATAATGAAAAAAAGAATGTTCCCTTTCCTTTTTACAACAGAGCTGCCTTAAAAATATTTTGAAAAATCCATTGCTTCTTTGCTACCATTACTTATTGTTACCTCCCTTAACTCCCAGTAACCGCTGATTTTTGTAGCCACTTCCTACAACACCCTTGATCATAAAATATGGGTAGTTAATAGGAAAACCCTACACCTATATCAATTAAGATTTGGTTTGGCTGCATATATCAGGGAAAAGAAAAAAACAAAACAAAACAGTAGTTTAAGCAAGGCAAATGTAACGTACATAGTCCAGAGTTAGTCAGTGGTTCTGTGGTTTTAGGGACTTGGGCATTCTCTCTCTATTTTCTTTTCCATAACCCAGAACATGTTTTCTGTCCTTAAAGTTATCTTACCTTCCAAGATAACTGCTGGAGCTCTAGCCAACATGTTTGTATTTCAGGCAGCAAAAGGAAAAAGCAGGGAAGGACAAAAAGGGTCTCACCAAGATGAGTCATTTCCTTTAAAAGAGTTCTCTGCTGGCATCTTATTGGCTAAAACCTAGTCACATGGAAAACCTGACTGCAAAGGCTGTTGGAAAATACGCTTTAGCGGCATCTTTTATCACGCCCAATGAAATTGGTCTGTTCCTGAGGATCAAGGGGAGAAAATATATTGGCAAGCAATTAGTAATCTCACATTCCTCAGATAGCCACTCCTCCAGATTACTCAACTCCTTTCTTACTCACAATAAAGCTATCTCAATTCTATTTTTTATATCTAATTCGCAGGAATGATCTTTCTAGATCAATGGTTCTCAACTTCAGCTGCAAATTTAGAAGCACTTAAAGTGCCTTTAAAAAATTCTGATGCCCAGGCCAATTAAACCAGAAACAATGTCAGTGAGACTCAGGCCACAGTGATTCATAACAATATCTCCTGGTGGTCCCATTGTTCAGCCAAGTTCAAGAACTACTGTCCCAAAGAAATTTTAAAAGAAGGCATGTAACCCAAATGATACCACATTTTGTCACTTTTTTCTGTTGTGTAAAAAAGTGACATTAAAAACAAACAAACAAACCCTGCAAGCCAAGAGTGGAGAATAATTTGGGGAGTGTTGGCACGTGCCATAGAGACCAACTGTTTGCCTTTGGAATCAGTTTTCCTCTACTACACGCTCCTTTTTTTAAACACTATCTTCTCTTCTATAACATTGGAATCATATGATTCTCTGAAAACCCTGATTTTTCTATATAGTAGATTCAAGGACAGCATAGATTGATCCAATGTTGGTCATCCTTGATGACTTTTCTCTCCTATATCCCCACATCAATTTAAATACTCTGTATTGCTTCAAATAACTCTCAAATCTGCCCACACCTTTATCTTATCCAAAATCCACACAGCAACCAAAGGCATGTTTAAAACACACACAAATCTGACTGTGTCGTTTCCTCTACATAGATCCCTCCAATGACTCCCCATTGATCTAGGACTGTGCCCTGCAAGATTCCCTCCCACCCACCTCCCAGCCTTATCTTAGGTCACTCCTCACACTCTTGTATGGTGACCTCCTTTCTTGCTTTCAGTGTTTCCTGGCTCTTTCCTTATAATCAATCTGTTTGCCAGGCCTACTGAATTCCCAAATGCAGCCAAACCAATACTTTCATTTGCTAATTCCTGTTGAGGGAAGACATTATTGCCCCCATAGACTGGGTCAAGATTCATACTATACTTCTTTTTTTAATATATTTTATTGATTTTTTTACAGAGAGGAAGGGAGAGGCATAGAGAGTTAGAAATATCGATGAGAGAGAAACATCGATCAGCTGCCTCCTGCACACCCCCTACTGGGGTTGTGCCCACAACCAAGGTACATGCCCTTGACGGGAATCGAACCTGGGACCCTTCAGTTCGCAGGCCGACGCTCTATCCACTGAGCCAAACTGGTCAGGGCTGATACTATACAGTGGGGCCTTGACTTACGAGTGTCCCGACTAACGAGTTTTTTGAGATACCAGCTGTCTCTCAGCCGATTTTTTGCATTGAGTTGATAGAGTATTTTGAGTTAACGAGCTCCTTAACGAGCTCTGTCTCGGAACGAATTAAACTCATAAGTCAAGGACCCACTGTACTTCTTCATGGCCCTTATTACAGTTGTAATTCTTCAGAAGCACCAACCTACCCCCTGATTATTTTTTATGAAGGCAGGAAACATGTTCATGTTCTTTACCATTTTGTTTTCAGATCCTAGAACAGCTCCTAGCGCAGAATATGTATTAATAATACGGAGATAAATATTTTAGAAGTGAATATAGGAAGAAACGAGTAGCATGGGATTCTGAGATTGGAATGGTAGATTGGAGACAACGTGAAAGGTTCCTAAGCAACGGCTTGTAACTTCGTCACAACTGGCCCGAGTAAACGTTTCTTCCTTCTGTTTCAATATGTGTCTGTGTCTCTGCAGGTTGTGAGTTGATCCCAGTACAGTACCTTCGCTGGGGTGACCCTGAGCCCATTGCAGCTGTGGTGTTTGCCTGCCTCGGCCTGCTGGCCACCCTGTTCGTCACGGCGGTCTTCATCATTTACCGCGACACCCCAGTAGTCAAGTCCTCCAGCAGGGAACTCTGCTACATTATCCTGGCTGGCATCTGCCTCGGCTACCTATGCACCTTCTGCCTCATTGCAAAGCCCAAACAGATCTACTGCTACCTTCAGAGAATCGGCATTGGTCTCTCCCCAGCCATGAGCTACTCAGCCCTGGTAACCAAGACCAACCGTATTGCCAGGATCCTGGCCGGCAGCAAGAAGAAGATCTGTACCAAAAAGCCCCGATTCATGAGTGCCTGTGCCCAGCTGGTGATTGCTTTCATTCTCATATGCATCCAGCTGGGCATCATCGTCGCCCTCTTTATAATGGAGCCTCCTGATATCATGCACGACTACCCAAGCATCCGGGAAGTCTACCTGATTTGTAATACCACCAACCTAGGAGTCGTCACTCCTCTCGGATACAATGGGTTGCTGATTTTGAGCTGCACCTTCTACGCTTTCAAGACCAGAAACGTCCCGGCTAACTTCAACGAGGCCAAGTATATCGCCTTCACCATGTACACCACCTGCATCATATGGCTGGCCTTCGTGCCCATCTACTTTGGCAGCAACTACAAAATCATCACCATGTGCTTCTCAGTCAGCCTCAGTGCCACCGTGGCGCTAGGCTGCATGTTTGTGCCGAAGGTGTACATCATCCTGGCCAAACCCGAGAGAAACGTGCGCAGCGCCTTCACCACGTCCACCGTGGTGCGCATGCACGTGGGGGATGGCAAGTCATCCTCGGCCGCCAGCAGGTCCAGCAGCCTCGTCAATCTGTGGAAGAGGAGAGGCTCCTCCGGGGAAACCCTAAGGTAAAAGCTGTGGGGACCCTGTGGGCGTGGGCCGCTATTGGCTGAAGCAGTGACATTTGCTTCCTGGGCCTTTTAAATGGAAAATACTTGAGTGAATGAAGCTCTAGGGAGCAGGGTGTTGGGAAAGGGGCTTTGGACATTTGAATAGTTTTTGTGGGGTTAATTGGATGTGGACCCAGTGACTCGGGCCAAGGCAGAAACATAGAAGCTGAGACCTCTGATAAAGCAAAGAGTTACCGCAAAAGGGGGTGAGGTCAAGAGGGCAGAGAGAGCACAGTTAAGTCATTGAGCCATGGCAAGGCCCTCCAGGTCCTGAGGGGACGGAGATACATTGTGCACTAAATTCTAGTTCACCAGAAAAGATTACAGAAAATTATTAACAAATAAGATGATGCTGAGAACAGAATACCAAGAGCCTCACACATCCAACTGCACTTGCACATGCCCAGCGCAGAGAGACATGAGAATATAGAATTGATATTCTAGTTCTTAATGGGAAACTTGAACTCTTTGAGAAATGTCTAAGTAAATGAAAGAGACAAGAGAACACAGTAGCTTTGAATATACTCTTTCTAAACAACCAGCCAGTCTCCCACTTTCTCTGTTGCCCACAGTCCCATCCCATCTACCCCACCAAGTTCAGTACCACAGGTTTTGTTACTGGGCAGTTGCCATCTGAAAAGAATCTGAAGTCAACAGTCAATGGTTTCCCCCCATGTGAGGGACTACCTTATATGATAAATGCCCCCTAAGGTACTTCAAAAGGCAATGAAAACACCTTATCAGTGGCTTGGGAACAAATTTGGAGGTGTTAAAAAGACTACATAAGTTATTTGGTTGGGAATAAGGATTTCTCTCTTTAAGAAGTACATAGTCTGATGGGAAAAATAAAATAAAAGGGGGGTGGTGAGGGGGAAGGCAGATGGAAAACATGCCAGCAGGTTTGAGATATGGAAGGCTTTCTGTGTATAGAACATGACATCTCCAGGATTTATTGAAGAAATAGAAGACATAGTTATCCCTGAGGTTTACAATTTAGTTGACTACCTTGCACCAGGTGCATGGAAAGATATGAGAGGCATACAGGAATTAGAAAAGAATTGAGTGGTAAGGATACATGTTAATAATGCATCATTTTGATGTACAAAAGAGCTACTCAGGAAATCATCTGCTAACTATACAGAGATTTGACAAGTTCCCTAAACTCTAGATAAATAAATGCAAGATAAATGGCTAAATAATATTGCTTGAACAATTCTTTTAACTATCATTTAGCCTACATAAAAAGTTCTATTTTCTATAAACTCTAATCCCTCAAAGCCTGAGTTGTGGTAATGGTAAAGATTCTGTGTCTGCTGAGGACGGAAAAGGACTCACAAGATACTTAGAGTTACCCACATGGCCCAATTCATTTGCATTTTTAACATGTATCCTTGCCACTTTCAATTCTTTTCTAATTCCTGTATGCCTCTCATATATTTTCATGCCACTTGTTCAAGGTAGTCAACAAAATTATAAACCTTGGGGAAAACTACGTCTTCTATTTCTTCAATAAATCCTGGAGATGTCATGTTCTATACACAGAAGCCCTTCCATATCTCAAACCTGCTGGCATGTTTTCCATCTACCTTCCTGACTTCTCTCTAAAACATTCATTTTCAGAAACTTCTGCAAGATCAGCCTTTTATGTTGTCTAAGAAAATTTATTTTGTCAAACAATTTATCAGCCTTTCTTTAAACTGAAATAAGTCTTCGTAAATAAGTCTTCGTTGGCATCTTGATAGAGGAAACAGTTTGCCACAGGGACAGAATTGTGAGTCTGTGCCTAAGTACCCCCCAAACTCTCTAGGGCGGGCTCCTTAGAGAGATAGCATGGAGCAGTGGTGAAGAGCACTGGCTTTGCAGCCAGGTTCTCCTGAGTTTGAGCTGAGACTTCATCTCTTCATGTTCCAAATTGAGGTTATAGCACCTACTTCATAAGATTGGAAAGAGAGAAAGGAATAATGTGTGTAAAGTCCAGGCACACAGTAGATATTCTACTAAAGGTAGCAGGATGCAGAACTAGACAGCACTGGGATTGGATCCTGGCAGCATCACTTGCTAGTTGTGTGATATAACTGTAGGCCAATCATTTAACTTCTCTGGGCCTGGGTTTCCTCCTCTTATAAATGGAGATGATGAAATACATACTTCATCCAGTGGTTGTGAGACTAAATGGGTTCATATGTGTCAAGTGGATGCCATACCTCCTCCCCCTTTTAAGCTACAACCTTAAGCAATAAATTAGTTCCAAACTAAAATTCCTTCCTCTATGCCTCACAGGAGCTCTCAAAGTAAGTATTTCTTCGTTGTGATCCAAACTCAGGTGTTCATAACACTAGCATAATAATTATCACATTGAAGAATATGACTGGTTATGCATGGATTTGCCTCCCTGTTTAGTTTATGGTTTTATAAAGGCCAGTGTGTATTGCATTGCCTATCACATTGGAGCTTAAATCATGGCAAACTAGTGAACTTGGGTACTTCTCATACTTTCACATTTTATTCTAAATTACCCCCATTACTTATGCTTCTCTGGCTTCAATTCTGCAATATGTCATGAGCCAATTTATCGGGACCCAGGGTACTATTTAAATTTGAACAAAGTACTTCAGTTCATTTCTTCCACTGTAAAATGGTAGATAAGTAATCCTGTTGTGAGGAGTAAATTAAGTGGTATGTGTTAAATTCTTAGTATCAGACATAAAAAGTACTCAATAAATGGCAGATAAACCTTTTAGAAATGTGTTCAGTTGCAGGAAAGATTAAGCCAGATTTTCAGAGGCCTATATGACTTGTTTGGTTTCATTTTCCTCATACCACAGGAAATATGCAGGTAAACTGTTCCTAGTATTCCTCCATAGCTCAGTGATTCCAGAGCTAACATCTCTGCTATTCTATACACCTTCTGCTAAAGGTTGCATGTTGACTGTCATGGTTCTATGCATTGCATCCCTTTGTTAGGGAAAAAAGTCTTCTTAGAGTCCCATAAAAATTACCTTTATGTTTCATGGACGAAGTCATCTCATATAGCTAACCCTAGCTGCATGAGTATAAGAAAGTGTGCATTTAGCTTTTATATCATCCATAATGGAAACGGAAGGGGAAAAGGGAATGGTGTCAAGTGCTATTGGATAAACCAGTAAGCAGTACATAATAGTAATAGTGGTAGTAGTAATAGAATTGTCTCATGGTCACAAAATACTGAAAGTAGAAGCAATAATCATTCCCATTTTTCAGATGAGGAGTTTGAGGTCCAGCATGGTTAGAAGACTTGCCCATAGACTAGTCCGTTATGAAGCTCTTTTTATATCAGGCCTCGCTTTTTGGCACTTGAGCTGAACATTTCCCGGAATGTATTCTTTGGAAAGCTATTCTCACAAACTGCTCCATAAAAAACTTATTTGGTTAAAAAATTAAAAAAAAACAACCTCTGACTACTCTACACTTTTATTAGAAGTAAACACTAAGAAGTCTTGTGGAACTAAGAAGTGTGGAAACTAATCAGTCATCTATTAATTTTTTTTCGATCTTTTCCCAAGCTTTGGAACACCGGACTGTTTTTTTCAAGTAACTCTATTAACATCCCAGAGAATCAATACTAAAAAGGAGACTCACTTGGAAGAAAATTCATCAGAGCCAAAAAAAGTAGACATGTTCCTGAGGCCTGACTTGTAAATCCAATCTGCTGTGAGGCTAGCAGAAAGAGCCAATTTCTACCTCCGGTCATGGAGATCACTTCTGTTTTCTGAACACCTAAGGGAAGAATAGAACTAATTCCAGCAGATCTAGCAGTTTACTGGGAAGTTAAATAGGTTCACCCTAGAACAGACAAAAGAAAAATATCCAGTCAGTCATTCAATTCACTGAAATAGCAAAGGGAGATTTTTATTTAAAAGGCAGTGAGTCATGAGAGATTTTTTTAATATAGAAACATACCATTTATGCCATCAATGTATAGAGGTCCCTGTGATTAACACTTTGGTTCTAGGCACTAATTTCCAGCACATGTGGTGCAGCATCAAATCATTGTCAAGCAGTTAATGCCAAGTTTCTACTTAAGGCCTTCACTTCGGCTGCAGATTGACAAACAAACACAAAACCAGTTCTGGCCTAAATAAAGCATTGAATTTGATGAGTTGAAAGTTCTGCTCTACAAGATTCAGAATTTCCAGGGCTGTGAGGCTGAGGTCCTCAGTGGGCCTTTCATAGCTAAATAATAACAGAGGCATATAACCCTGCATCAGAAATGTTCTCAGAAGGTAAAACCTGCCCCTAGGAATTCCAGTGGCAGAAACATTAGTATTGCCTCCACCTTAATTTTAGAAACTGCCATTTGCCACTTTTGTTTTAATTAACTAATTAACTTTGCTTTAATTAACATTGTCATGAGGGCCCTCTTAGGCTGTCTGCTCAAGCAACTGCTAGTCTTTCATATCCATAGCCCAGATTATAATTTGCCTGAAAAATTGTTTCTCTTGTGTGAATTCCAATATAACCCAACTATGATCAGAGCTTTGATGATTTCCAATTGCTTAGATTTCATTAAGGGGTTATTAGTCTGTGTGAAATTATGTTCCTGCCATTTCTCTCTCCTTGGAACCTTCTGCCTCTTCCTACTGTCTCTTCAGATCCTTTCTGTTTCCAAGGCCCAGGTTCCTAAACCCTGTCAGATTAGGCATCTCACCTACTTGCCCGCATCTGGACTCAGAACATGTATTATGTATGTCGTACATTTAGCACACATTCCTCACATCTTCTTCATCTATTATTTACTCACAAACATTCACTGAGAACTGCGCATTGCCAGGAACTGTGCTAAGCCCTGGGGATTTGGAGGTTGTTTTGGGTATACGCGCAGTATTTTCACAACTGTGTTTCATATCTCCCTTGGTGCCTAGCACAGTGCCTGACAGGTTGCATTGCTCAGTGGTAGATTATGAATCTGATGGGCAACA